CCAGATTCAGCAGGTTCAAATTGAGGAAGGACTCGAATTGGGAGGAGATTCGAATCAGGGGGGTGTAAAGTCCCCCCTTGATCTTTAACATTTGTCTCGTTTTGCAGGAAATATCTTCTCAGAATCTTGTTCAGAGCTTCGAAGCTTAGCAACTTAGCTTCGAACTGGATCCAGGGTTCCCAGATCGAAGGATGACATATCCAGATCGAACACCCCCAAGGTGTAGCCCCTCGTGCACCTTCGATCAAGCCTCTTCACTGGATCGAAAGACAGCCCACACCTCTTTCGATCCAGGCCTCCAGAATTATATCTTTCTTGATTTACTGCCTGTTCCTTCGATTTCATCTTTGTTTTGACTATTTTATTTCTTTTTTTTAATCAACATAAAATCAATTAAAAAAACCACAAAAACATTAGGCTAGTTTTTTCTATTAAATTAACTTTGTTAATTAATCATTTAATTATCTTAACATTTTCTCAAAACTAAAATTAAGAAGATTTAGATCATTTTCCCAAAATAAAATAAAACAACAAAAAGATTTTATTCTTAGGATTTTTAGAAGTTATGTTCAGATTCGCGCGCGTTTATTTTATTGTAACTGCCTACTGGTTTGTGATAGCTTAACTAAGACTTTTACACTTTACTGCTTTATTCCCCCAATTTTGGACATGTAAATAATCCCCCTCCCCGAAGCCTTGTAATAGCGTAGGATTTACAATTCCCGCACTTTAAATTCCTGTACATATATTAACTATTTAGATGTATGCTAACTAGGATTGCATGACAAGATCTATCTTGACTTAAAATCAACAGTAGCTCACCATGACATGTAAAGATAATATAAACTGAAAATTAACACACTCGCACATGCCACTCTTAGGGTACGCCTCACTTGGTTGCCTCGAACGTGGTCATTGAGTATAGGATGTTTTAGAGGTCGCCCTCTTGTCCAAAGATCATAAGTTGCCTCGAAACGGTTGCCTCGGATAAAATGATCTAAGACATTAGGGTTACCACTAAGGCGTCCTAACATTGCTTTAGTGACCACACGTCCCTTAATCGAATTGACCCGAAAACTTCAACGACGATGCTACCTACTCCTCAATAGTGGGACAACACTATCTAAAGGATATTTGCATAGTTTAATTCCTTTTTGAGTAGGTAGAGGTTCTTAAGTACTTGCTCCTTTTAAAACAAAACAAAACTTTTCGCACTTACACTCTCTTCAAAACAAAAACTCTTTTCAAACCCACAATCACAAAGAAAAGCAAACTTTTGAAAACATAGTGAGCAAGTACCTAAGAGCCCGTGGATAACCACAGATAGAAAGGGTGATAACACCTTCCCTTTCTATAATCTACCTCCCGAACCCGAGAAATATCTCAAAAAGGAATTTTTCCGTGCTTTTGTCCTTTCCTTGTTGGATAAAATAAAAGACGGCGGCGACTCTTGCTTACCGCGACATTTTGCAAAAACAAACGCAAACGCGAACCAACATTCGAAAACAGTCAGTTCTCATTCCCACCGATCACAGAATCCAACTAATTATTCACTGAAAATTGCATGAATGTGATGAAAGAGAAAATTGAAAAATTGAACACACATCAAATAAGAATATTTTACCATCAAGACTATTATTTCAGTGTCCAAGAGACAACATATCACAACAAGGAACGAACAACGAGACATTACAATGTCGACCTACAAAAAGATTGGTGTGATTGTTGAAACTTTTAAGCTTTACATGTTTCTTACTCACATATCATTACAACATGTTCTAATGTTTGTCAGAATGTTTTCGTACATTTGTCCGACGTTTACAACGTCGGAAACATATTTGGTATTTACAACTAAAGTTTTTCAGTAGTACCTTACAACGAATATTTTCCTACTTATCAAGCGGGTATAATTTGCCATAACCAAAAGATGTGTAGGAATAAGAAAGATCACTCAAACAACACATAACTTAGAATCAGAATTGACATCATTGGTAAACTAAAAAATAATAGGGATTATATCTTCTTACTAGTCATACACAAAAGTGTTCTTCCGATATTGGAATCAGTATAATTAAACACGTTTATTTTTTAGAACTTTCATTTTATTGATGCATCACTTGTAAAAGTTATATTAATTATAAGTTTCAATTACAACACAAAAATAAAAACAACACAAACATATAACATTACTTAAACACCTAATACACCACAATAAGCAATACAAGTTCTTCTATGCCATTTGCAACGTCCCATAACATAGCAGTTGAATAATGTCATTATCATACACAATTGATAGGTGTAGAGTGCGTTTTTCAATTCTACTTACCTTTCTCGCCCTCTCAACCATGTGTCTTTTAACCACCCGTTTAGACATATCTCAAACGATTGAATTTTCAATCCAATTTTAAAAAAATCCTCAAAGAAGACTTGTCGTTTGTAAAAAAAACATAACCATTAACATGTATGTTACAAAAATCAACAAAAATTATGAAAAAAAAGATGGAATGAGGTGTGCAAAAATGTTTGACAAATAAGCTCTATTTATATAAAACACGTCACATATATGTATCAATTCAATTGATAGACCTATATTGGAAAAATAATTATTTAAAAAATTTCAAGTCTCACATTAATTTGACATAAGGGTAAAAGAGTTTATAAATAATAACATCACTTACCTTTCAGGTCGGTATTGCAAAGATGAATAATGTCAAACTTTAATTTATGATGGTATCATGAATTTATCAATTCGGGTCACCCACCATTTATATATGTACACCATATCCGACAATATTAGGTGTAAAAGAGTGTCTAAAAAAACTCAAATTCTACTTATCGATAACTTGGGCATCCATAGTTTATATCGACACATCCAACCCAAAATAGTGTCGGGCGTAAGAGAATATATTGAAAAGATCTCAAATCTCACATTGATTAGACATAAAATCTAAAAAAAATTTATATAGAGTGACATCTCTAGCCTTACAGGTTAATTTTGAAATGATAATAAATTAGTTCAAACTCAAACTTATAATATTTTATATAATTTTGTTGAATTATTATAAATGAAATTTATATTTAATTATTCTTGCAACTACAAATAAATATTAAAAAAAAATGCAAATAACATAAAATAATATATAATTCAATTCAAATAAAAAAATATTAATATTAAAATTATTATTTGATTAAAAAAATATTTTAAAACATATTAAATTTAAAAAAATATTTTTTTACGGAAATATTAAAAAAAGATAAAAGGTGGCTTTATTATTGACGCCTTTCATTAAAATAAGGAGGTGGTCGTGCTAATTGTTTTCAAGTAAGTTTTTGAGTAGAAAAAAATATTTAAAAGTGAGATAGATTGAGAATAGTGGGAAATTGATGCTAATTTAGATAAAGTCCGAGAGAAAATGGGATAAATGGGAAATTTTAGCTTAAGTGAAGGACATAAAATGTTAGCTAAACATTTAAACACATCTGTCTCTTTATACTTACTATATTTATACTCATTCTCCTATATATTACGGAGAAAGTAGGAGACAAAAATCCTACTTTTTGAGTTCATGTTTTGTCTCGTTTGTATAAAAGTACCATCCTAAATTATATTTAAAATTAAAATAAAAAAAGTACAAAGAAGGAGTTGCTTGAGAGTACAAGTGATCGTAATCCATGATGAAGATTACTAGTGTAACTATAAAGAATCGTTTTCGGTTGCTTTGAAGGAATGTAAGTATATGTATGAAAGATATTATGGCTTGACTTTTAGAAATGCCTATCATCTATTTAGTGTGGGAGTGCTTATCCACAGTTGGTAATATGTAGACATCACTCTGCCACATCAATATCTTTATTATTAAAACTATTTTACTTTCTTTTTTAATATATAATAAAAAAAATTTTTTAAGTTATGTCTTTTAATCATTATTACATATATTATTCTTATAGGATTATAAGGTTAATTTGTAAAGGAGTAAGGACTCTTGTCATTTTCACAATGATAAAATGATTGTTATATTTAAATCAAAATGCATCATTACCTCTTTTAAGTTTCATATTTTGAACTAATTAAATATAATAAATGAATACTTTAAACCATACAAATTTGCAATTCAAATTAAAAAATAATTTTGTTATTTTGTTATAAGATGTTGATTTATAAAAATTAACAACTTATCTATATTAATATATTATAAAAAATATAAGAAAATATTGATATAGAAATTAAACTTTGGATCAACGAATCACGTTCATTTTGTCCAACTAATTAATATCAGTTGAGTTATCTCATTCATCCATAATTTATTTTTATTCAAATTTAAATTAAAAAAAATAAATAAATAAAAAAAAGAAAAATAAATTTCAAGAGTTCATCAACAATTCAGGTTCTCGAAGGAAATGGTGGCACCATAAGCGAAAAATCAAATTTAAATTTCTGCGAATTTCCACATTAAGATCTCTTCTGATTTGAAATCTTGACATATACAACAGTCACACTTAGATGGGGAAGTAATCACAAATCTCGCCTTCAAAAGCATCTTAGAATAATCCAATTTCGAACTACCTCGAATTAACACGAATCAGGGAGCAAGAAGAAGACAACTTAACTTAGGGTTTCAAGACCGCAAGAAGGTAGATGGAACTCATAATGTGATCCTTCTGCTAGTCTAAACTGCTACCATAGCAAATCATGTCGTATTAGATATCCTCATTAACAGTGGAAGCTCATGCGGTCTGATGTACGTAAAAATCCTCATGAAACTAGGCTTGAGCAAGGTATATCTAAAGCCTTGCGAGTGAAAATTTTCTTAGGATTTAACAATCGCTCTACTCGTCCATGTGAATGTATAGATCTACCAGTTTCCTTTGGAGTAGGGAAAAATAAGATAATCGTGGACGCTCGCTTGTTTGCGATTTCTTGTGAAAACTTTTACAACAACATTCTGGGAGCTTATTCATATCAATATTAGATGTTGTGGCTTTCTCCCGTACACTTAAAGATGAAATATCACAACAATTTTGGGAATTCATTCGTAATTTCAACTGACCTATGTGAAGCATATCTTATACTTGAGACGATAATAAAAAATCCTCTAAAGATCACTATTTCTTTTGAAAAAAAGAGGAATAAGACCGGTGGAGCAATCAACGTAGGAGACCTTGATGAGTGGGAAGATGGAGTCATGTCAGACGATGAGCTTCATCCATCACTCAGAACTAAGAAGAAGACCCTTGGACCAATTCCAGATGGTGAGATCGAAGTCATTTAAGTCGACGATAATCTAACCCAATCAGTCAAAATATGTGTTGGCCTACCAGTCGAGGTGAAGAAAGGTTTACTTTAATGTTTAAGAGACAACACCAACCTCTTTGTCATCCCCCCTACGAGATGCATGTAATAGACCCTGTTGTGGCATGTCATTAGTTAAACATTGATCCTGACACCCGATATGTGTCTTAGCAAAAAAAAGAGACAGTTTCCTAAAAAGGCATAAACAACTATGAAGACGATCCAGGATTTGGTGGACCTGAACCTTATCTCTGAAGTAAGATAAAATTAATGATTTTCTAATGTGGTGTTGGTCATAAAGGCTTCTAGAAAGTGGAAAATATGTGTTGATTACGCCGTCTTTAACCAGACATACCCAAAAGACTCATATTTGCTTCCAAACATAGACATGATGGTGGAAAAATCAGTCTAGTACAAGTTTTTATCATTTAAGGATGCATATTTTGGTTATAATGAAATACCCATATACGAGCCATATATAGGAAGAACCGTCTCCATGGTCAAAAAAACCAATTACTATTATAACAAGATTCCTTTTAGCATGAAGACCTTATGGTAACATACTATCGCGGCGTGAAAAATACCTGAGCATTTGCATGCTCAAAATATAACAACGAGTCACCATCGAACTTTATTTATTCCAAAAGGAACGGGAAAATATGGAGAAAACCCGCGAAAGAAAGGATAAGATGGTCATTGTTGACGCAGTAAAGTGGTAAGCAAAAGATTGGAAGTATTTTTCTAGGAAATTTATCGTCTCCACATGGATCAGTGTGAGGGAAATAATGTCATTCAATAGTCTCCGTGTTTTTGAGCTTGGGTTAAAATGGGTTTGAGGTATGAGGTGAAAAAGTGTAGTTATTAACAAAAAATAAATTCATTCTTAAGAGAGGAGAGACTTATCAGGATTGAATTCAAACTACTCATCACAAACTTAAACATATCGATCAGTTGTATTCAACATACCATACTCGTCAAAATCATCATGTATCTCTTACATCAGTGTCCATTTCTGCAACACCTACGAGACACACCATAACTAAGGTTATGTCTAACCCAAATTGCGAGAACAACTATATTCTCGCGTCGGCGATGTCTCGTGCAAAACAACAACACAAAAGCATTAAGCTTCGATACCCAAGTGATTATTAGCTCTAAATATATCTCTAGAATCTAGAAACTAATAGATTTCCTTCCCTAATCAAGATTTGCAAGGTATATCTCTACAACAACACAAATCCAAACATAAATGCAAAAAGATCAAGAAAGACATCGATAATGATTTGTAAAGCAATACAACACCATGATAAATACATATACATATGTTCAGAGTAAGCATGTAAACAAATCCTAATAAATAGAGAAATACATAGAGAAGGAATGAAGAAAAACCAAATATCTCACGCGTTGTCATCTTCGATTGATGAGAACTCCAACTCCGGATCATCCATATGCAAGCTCCATTATTGTTTTCTAACTCTCTCTACCAAAGAATATTACTGATGAATTTGGGGTTCAAAAACTACCCAAACCATAACCTAGAAATCTGATTTGATCTATTTATACAAAAAGCAAAAACAATAGACCTCGCTAAGCGGGCTGAGCCGGCTAAGCAGATTCACTAAAATATCTAAAATATCTACGCTGATACAGGGTACTCTGCTAAGCGTGATAAGCTGGCTAAGGGGACCCCGCTAAGCGGACTAAGCTGGCTAAGAAGGCTCAACAACACAACCCCTGTCACTGTAAAAATTCTTATAACGCGCTACAACTTGGGCTTAGCGGACTTCCTGATTATTTTCTTTCAAAAATGCATATTCGAAGTCGTGCCTTCGACATTTTATTGCTCAATGCTCCAAACATGCACCAATACCTACAAAATGAATGAAAACTATCAAACGGTACACTATTTATATACAAACACGATTACACACATATTATACATATTTACAAACAAAGTGGGGTTTATTCAAAAGATATTAACAAAAAGAAACTATAAGTGCAACAAAACTTATATACAAAAATACCTACAATTTGCATATCTACAACTTACCTACAAAAATACTTACAACTTACCTACAAAAATACCAACTTAGACTTGTTTGTCCTAAAAAAATCAATCAACTCGAAGAACAAAAATAATCAACTAAAGACTCATGAATCAACATGTTTAAAAAAAACAAATATATGATTCAAACAAAAATGTATAAGCAAGGCAAAACTTACCATAATCCTACAACGACAACATGAAACAAAATGAATCCTAAGTACAAAAATCATGTTAAACCATCTAAAACAATACAGGCTCAACCATGAATCACACCTAACAAAAATTCATCAAGGGATGAAAAACACACAAAAGTGAGGGACTTGACACTCATCCAACAATCTTGCAAATAAAAGACTGAATTATACACTCATCCAAAAACTCATACTGAAAATATAAAGGCAAGAATCACAAGGGCTTTAAGGATTGTAATGTGGCTTGGTTAACAAACAAGGGGAAATTTCTAAAGCTAATTGAAACAAAAACTTCTATAAACCTAAGGGAGTGATCAACTCACAAAGTTTCAAACACAAAATCTCAATCAAACTTCTTCTACATTCCCAAATTGTCACACCAATCACATAACTTATTAACTCAACATTATTTGCTACTTTTTTTTTGTTTTTATTTTTCAAAACTTTTCTCTTTTCTCTTTCTTTTCTTTTATTTTTCAATTTCTAAACCTCATAGCAACCAAACAAATAAGTAAGCAATCATTCTTCTCCCCAACTTGAATTCAACCAACATCATAGTGTGAATACTCCATACTTTCTAAGGCAAGGTAAACATTCAAACAATAACACATGGTTGAGGGTTCAAGAAACAAAAAAATAATCAAAATACATTCAAAATAAGTGAACTAAATACTGATAGACAAGCATCAAGTTCAAATGCAACTTGGATATTGGCAAAAAGGCTCAAATGAGTTACGAACTCTCGCCCACTCACAAGGTAATTTACTTTTTAGCCAAGTGGTTATGCTCAAAATGAAACAAATGCTCTGATCCTTTTCATGCTTTCATACAATCAACACAAATAAAAGATTAAACATAATAAAATCCAGTTAAAACAAGAATTGTGGCCTCCAACATATATGAACAATGGAAACCTTCCTCACATTTGAGAGTAAAAAGGAACTAAAGTGATTCAATCAAAAAACAAGTAATGCAAAAGAATTAATGGCATGGTAATTATACAAATTATAAGTTTCCTAAACATGTTATAAAGCGATAAAAGAGTACCTTGAATGATACCAATGTTAAAAACTATCATTACCATACATCTGCAAGTTGAAACAATCAAACTTGGAAAATAACCTAAAACTTCCTCAAGTTAACAGTTCAAAATTAGATGACAAACAACAAAGAAAAACATTAGTAATACTGCTACTATTTACTAATCTATATAGCCTTGGTGAAAGTGGGAAAAATGAGGTCAAAGTTAAGAAAAAAGTACCACTGGAACACAACTAATCGAGACAGAACACGTTAAGCGGCCGCAGAAAAAAATAGGACGCGCTAAGCGGGCTTGACCGCGCTAAGCGGTAGCAGGAAAATGCATAAAAATTAGAAAAACCTCTGATTTCTCATGCCTAACCTCCACTAATACCTACACATCTCAGCTACAAAATTAAAAAAATTTACAATCGTTGGGGTACCTCCCAACAAGCGCTTGTTTTGTGTCATTAGCTTGACGCCTTTATTTAAATACACGCTCCTCCACGTTGCTTCGTTCACCGACATCTACCAATAAAATGAGCAACACTTGAGCAAACGTAAATGAAAAAACAAGTATAAAACATAAACATAAATATATATACAACTATACAATCTTATATACAAAGTAAGCATTTGTATAAAATAGAAAAGTTCATTTACAAGTATCTATACAAGTATACAATATAAACAAGTTAATATACAAAATATACAAGTATGTACAAAGCTCAAAATCATAGAAACTATTGTGATGCAATTCAATATCAAAACACCAATCTTCGAGAACGACACAATTTTGTTGACGCAGTAAAGCAGTAAGCAAAAGATTGGAATTCTTAAAAGAGGAGAAACTTATCACACATAATTTAAACTACTCATCACAAACTTAAACTTATCGATCAGTTGTATTCAACCTACCATACTCGTCAAAATCATCATGTATCTCTCACATCAGTGTCCATTTTTGCAACACCTACGAGACACGCCACAACTGAGGTAATGTCTAACCCAAATTGCGAGAACAATTGTATTCTCGCATCGATAACGTCTCACATAAAACAACAACACGGGAGCATTAAATTTTGATACCCAACTGATTATTAGTTCTAAATCTATCTCTAGAATCTAGAAAGTAATAAATTTCCTTCCCTAATCAAGATTTGAGAGGTCTATCTCTACAAAAACACAAATACATTCATAAATACAAAAATATCAAGGAAGACATTGATAATGATTTGTAAATCATATTTTATACAATACCATGATCAATAAATATACAAATGTTCAGAGTAAGCATATAAATAAAACCCAACAAATAGAGAAATTGATAAAGAAGAAATGAAGAAAAACCAAACATCTCACAGGTTGTCAGCTCCAATTGATGAGAACTCTGACTCCAAATCATCCATATGCAAACTCCATTGTTGTTTTCTAACTCTATCTACCAAAGAATGTTGGTGATTAATTTGGGGTTCAAAAACTACCCAAACCATAACCTAGAAATCTGATTCGATGTATTTATACAAAAAGCAAAAATAGAAGACCCCGCTAAACGGGTTGAGCCGGATAAGAGGGATCAATAAAATATATAAAATATATACACAGTGTTGTACCCCAAAATTTTCCCTCCCTTTTCTTCAAGACATTTCTCACAAAAGATCTCAAATTCTCAAGGATTCTCAAAGAGTTGATCAAACAAGCTCACCTCCTAAGCATTGGGTCCAAATTAGGGTTTTGGTTTTCTCAAGGATAATTGGAATTTTAATTCCTAGTGACTTTAATGGTTAATTATAAGACCCTACCCCTAATTTGAGGGCTGGGAATCCATTGGTGGCCTTAGTTTGGCTAATTCTCCCTCCGCGATGAGATACGGAGAAAAATACTATAAATCTGTGTAATAATGGAAATTCATGATTTAGGCCTCATGGGACCCATGCGATGGCTCAATCCTGCATAGTTATATCTCAGAGACACATTAGAAACATCAACATGAATCAAAGCACGATAAAATCTAAAATACAAAATTCAAGAAATTTTGTAAATCAGTGATGCATGGATGCTTATTTCAGGCTTCTTTGATCATCAAGAGTGATCAATACTTACTCTATAATGTCCATGGAGTTGATTTGGATGGTTTTTTGGCCTTGAAAGTGGTTGTATAAGAGTTTTCAAGTTTGCCCTAGTTTGGAAAAATTTTGATATTTTTTTGAGGGGTTCTCTTGCAAGGATTTCGTGTCTGTAATGTCTGAATATGATGTATATTTATAGGGCCATGAATTAGGTTAAAATATGGGCTTGGACTTTGAATGAGAACCTTTGATTTTGTTTGAAAATAGAACTTGGATAAGACAAAAGAAGAAGATTTGATACAAGAATAACCTTCACGCAGTTTTTGGACCATCTTAGGCCTCCAACATGTTTGAATAAAAAAGCCTCTTAAGCATTGCACTCCATTTGATATTTTTTGATTTAATTTTGAGTTTAAATAAATAAAATCAAATTAAATAGGATAAAAATTATCATGGTGCATAAATGAGTTTAGAGGTCCATTATGAGGTCAAGTACACGTTTGGACCTTTAAATATAGGCCTATTAGCCAAAAAATTCAAGTTTGCTCAATTTGGGTTTTATGCAATTTCTCAAAATTTCCCAACTTATGCAACTCATAGCTCTCTCAATTTTTATCATATGAAGGTGATCTTAGAATTTTTGGAAAGCCTAAGATGTCCCCTACAACTCTCATGTTGATTATGTTTCCATTTTAAGACTTTATCTTGATGTAAATTGCTTTGATAAAAAGTGTCTTTTTGTTGACTTTTAAAATGACCTGTAATGTTTTGGCTCATATCTCTTAAATGAAGCATTTTTGGGCCTCGAGCTTAGATAGAAATTTTTTTAGAGAAATTAATTTGCTTAAAAATGAGCTTTGGTTGAGAATTTTGTCATGAAGAATGTGAAATTTATGCTTGGTCAAAGTTCAGTTGACTTCTCCTAAAGGAAACCCTAATTTAGCAACTTTTGACTTTTGATGAATCTTGAGTTTTCTTGATGAGTTATGATCAACCCTTGATCAAATAGTTAATGTAACTTCACAATATTGATATTGACCAAATTTTTTGAAGTTTGACTATATGTTGACCACAATTGACTTTTTTTACCAAATATAATTGATTTTTAATCATCTGACTAGTTGAATGAGCAAACTTGTACTGTAAGGCTTGAAATTTGGCACGAGGATGCCTTGAAACATATGAGAAACCATGAAGTCCACTTGAGGCCTTAGAAGTCCAATTTCCTCTGAGAAAAACTAAAAACGTAATTGTAGGCCATTGCTTAGGAGGAGGGCACCTTGAATTAATTTGTCTTTGAAAAATGAGAGAGAAAATTTTGGGGTATAACAATAAGGATGGTGATGATGCCGACCAAATGGAAAAAATTGGTAAAACAAATATGAGCTTTTAACTTGAAACAAACTTGGATTAAAATTCGAATTTGGTAGTGATAATGGCATATGCGATAAAATGCAACATTGGTGCCTCTTTTGTTAACTCTTTGGCTTCGTGTGGGGGTCTTTTTTGCAATGACATTGGTGACTTCTTGTTTGGCTTTTCTATGTTGGTTGAGGGGGAACTCTTCCCTTAGTGGGAGTTTTTTGGTGCCTTAAAATAAATCGAGTATGCCTATCAATTAGACTCCTATAAATTATGGTTGGAAACAAATTAAAAAATGGTCATTCTTGCAACTCAAGACTAAAAAATTGTGCCTTGGAGTATTCAAAATAGGCGACTTAATGTTATGGTTAAGGCAAGATCTATGAATTTTTTCATCATTCACATTTATAGGAAAAATAATCATTGTACCAACACATCATCTTCTAAAGCCTCCACCATTAACCCTCTTGTTGTTTGGAACTCATACCCCAACTTCCTAGTTTCATCATTGTATCATGATATAATTTTATCTATGTATCATAACAAGCTAAGATTGTCCAATTTTAAATTTGATGGTGTTTAAGTGGGTCTTTTTGGATCAAGCGCCTACCGCTGCGTTAAAAACAATTGTTGGTAGTGAGAGAGCAAATATATTTCCTCATAGTATAGAGCCCATAAAGGGTTGTACCTAGCCCGCCTAACACGCCATAGGCTGGAATGTTAAGCCCATTAAATCACAACAATGATGCTGGATAAATAAATCCAACAATCTTTTCCCCAGTAACAGTCTGAGGGATTCGAACCCATGACCTTGCTCTGATACCAATTTTTGAATCAAACCCCTACCGGTGCGGTAAAAGCAATTGTTGATGATGAGAGTGCAACTATATTTTCTTATAATATAGAACCCTCAAAGGGCTGTACCTAGCCCGCCTAACACACTGTAGGTGCCATGGATAGGTATTTTAAGCCCATCAAATCACACTAGTGTGACACTGGATAAATAAATCCAACATGTATAGGTTAAATCCCACAACTCTTTTTTTTTTTTATATTGTTTGAACTTTCATAAAAAAATATGTAGGATAAAAAACAAGACGATAAATATATCATATAATGTTGCAATTCACTGTTCTTGGGTGAAAGAACATAATATGATAAGTTAATCTTGACATTTTCATATAACATCTCTCTAATTAAGATATATAAACTAATTTTCATATGATATTATATTGAATAACTAATATACCTAGACAATATATATAAGTAATATTAGTTATTCAATAAATCTAAAAAAATATTTTTTTATAAATAAAATCAGAAGGAGTATTCAATAATATTCTTAAAAGAAATTAAATAATATTTAACAATAGACATGTTTATTTAAGTTTTTTTTTTTTTAAATAATTTCTATACTATTACATATTTTTGTTTTAAAAATATTTACAAAACATTTAGAAAAAAAACAAATGAAAACTAGTTTAAATGTTTTTCCTTTAATTGATATTTTAAATATTTCATAATTTTGTTATAATTTTTTGGATATTAAAAATTATTTATATTTGAAGCGGAAAGTTATTCTAAGATATGGTTTATTTTTTGAAAAATTATGTAATTTTAGCGATGTTTTAATCTTTAATAATCTATATTTTTGTTATTAAATATTAAAATTAATTTTTTAATTTATAAATATTTCGTTAAAAAACTTTTGATATTTAAAAAAACTTTTTATAAAAAATATTTTTTATAATATAAATAAATAATATATTTTTAAAGCTAAAATAAATGAGTCCAATATTTAATATTAGAATTTCTGAAGTATTTTTAAATTTTTATTTGAATTAGTTTAAATACTAAGATATAATACATTGTATATAGTAACAGTTAATTTATTATTATATTCAAAATTTATTTATTATATATTAAATTTTTAATCAATTATATTTTAAATCATAACCTTTAAATTAAATTAAATTTATGGTTAATCTTTTATACAATTAACATTTTTAGTTTGTTAATTATTAGATTAAATTAAATTTAAAGGTTATGATTTAAATTAAGTTTAAGTTTATATTTCATTTATCCTTTAGCGATAAAGATCTAGGCGTTGATTTAATTTTCACATATTACGATTTCGCTTAACCCAAAGAGGCAAAGATCCACTTTCATATTAAAAACACGTTTTACCCTGCACTTTCCTTTGTGTATCCAATTAAATCTCGCCACGTCACCTTCCCTTCCGCAAAGAGCAGCATCCGTGTGCTCAATACCAGCTGATTATTTCCAAACCCACGTAAAATACAATAGATTCACAGAAAAGAACCTCTCTTTCATTCTCTCTCTACAAACTAGAGTGTACGAACAAGCTTCGGTTTGTGTGAACTTTCAAGAACTTCGACTCAAACTGAAAATAAACCCACTAAATCCATTTCAGGTTCGTTTCATTTCTCTTTTTTGCATCTCAAATTTTCAAACTTTACTATCCAATTTTTCTCTTTATGTCCTAATTTCGTTTTCTCAACCCTTGATCTGATCTATATACGCATCTACTTAGATTTATTGTCATCAAATTTATGTTTTTTTCTTGTTGTTTGTTATCCCTAACTAACATTTCATTGCCTGATTCTGGATTTGTTTGCATGTTACAGGAACCGTGTTGTGTTGTTGTGTTGTTGTGTTGTTTTGTGTTGTATTATCAGTGTTGTACCTTGTAGCTTTGCTACTGTGGTGTATTGTGATTGGTGGAAAATTGTCAGTATAATAGAGTATTTGTACTGTTTTGAAGTTGCAAGCAATGGACAATAACGTGGGTCAAGATTCATTTGATAAGTCTAGGGTTTTAAATGTTAAGCCATTGAGGACTCTTGTTCCTGTGTTCCCTTCACCATCTAATCCTTCTTCATCATCAACTCCACAAGGTGGTGCTCCTTTTGTTTGTGCTTCTCCTGCTGGTCCTTTTCCAACTGGTGTTGCGCCTTTTTATCCATTCTTTGTTTCGCCGGAATCTCAGAGGCTTTCCGAACAGAATGCACCGAACCCAACCCCGACCCCGATATCTACTGCTGTTCCGATTAATTCATTCAAGACCCCACCTCCGGCGACAAATGGAGATGTTGGTTCGTCAAGGAGGACTAGCCGGAATCGCGCTGCGCATCTCACGGAGGAAGAAGGGTACAATATTGCTGAGATGAATGAACTTGATGTAGAAGATGGAACTGGGAATGGGAGTTTGAAACGCAAGAGGGGAAGACCGAAGCGTGTTAGCGGTGCTGGTACTGGTACTGGTTCTGGTGTTGGTGGTGTGGTTCCGGCTGATGTTGATCTGGATGTGGTGGCTAATGATATTATTCAATCAATTAACCCCATGGTTTTTGATGTTATAAATCATCCGGATGGTAGCAGGGACTCAGTTTCATATACACTTATGATATATGAAGTGATGCGAAGAAAGCTTGGACAAATTGAAGAGTCAACTAAGGACACTCATGGAGCTAAGCGGCCTGATTTGAAGGCAGGCACAGTTATGATGACCAAAGGGGTTAGGAGTAACAGCAAGAAAAGGATTGGAATTGTGCCTGGTGTTGAGGTTGGGGATATTTTCTTTTTCCGATTTGAATTGTGCTTAGTGGGATTGCATGCACCTTCTATGGCTGGAATTGATTATCTGGGTTCCAAAGCAAGTCAAGAGGAAGAGCCATTGGCTGTTAGTATTGTCTCATCTGGAGGGTATGAAGATAATACTGACGATGGGGATGTGCTGATTTACAGTGGCCAAGGTGGAGTTAATCGCGAGAAGGGAGCAAGTGATCAAAAGCTTGAAAGGGGTAATCTTGCAATGGAGAAGAGCATGCATAGAGGTAATGATGTGAGAGTAATTAGAGGTTTGAAGGATGTAATGCATCCATCAGGGAAGGTATATGTCTATGACGGTATTTACAAGATTCAGGATTCATGGGTGGAGAAAGCAAAGTCCGGTTTTAATGTATTCAAGTATAAATTAGTAAGGATGCCCGGACAGCCTAAAGCATATTCAACATGGAAATCCGTTCAACAATGGACTGATAAGTCGGCTCCAAGAACCGGGGTCATATTGCCTGATCTTACTTCTGGGGCTGAAAAAGTGCCTGTTTGTCTTGTCAACGATGTTGATAACGAGAAGGGCCCTGCATATTTCACTTATATCCCCACTCTCAAGAATTCGAGAGCAATTGCTCCTGAGGAACCTACTGCTGGATGTTCTTGTATTGGTGGATGTCAACCTGGAAATTACAACTGTTCCTGCATTCAAAAGAATGGAGGTTTACTTCCGTATTCTGCTGCTGGGTTAGTCGCAGATCTAAAATCCGTGATACACGAGTGTGGTCCTTCTTGTCAATGTCCCTCTACTTGCCGAAACCGGGTTTCCCAAGTTGGCCTGAAATTTCGTTTGGAGGTGTTTAGAACCAAGAATAAAGGTTGGGGTCTAAGATCGTGGGATGCTATTCGAGCTGGAACTTTTATATGTGAGTATGCAGGGGAAGTCATAGACAGTGCTAGAGTGGAGATGCTTGGTGGTGACAATGAAGACGAGTACATTTTTGATTCCACACGCATCTATCAGCAGCTGGAAGTGTTTCCTGCTGACATTGAAGCTCCGAAGATCCCATCCCCGCTTTATATAACGGCAAAAAATGAAGGAAATGTTGCTCGGTTTATGAATCATAGCTGCTCTCCAAATGTGTTGTGGCGTCCGATTGTACGTGAAAATAAACATGAATCAGATCTCCATATTGCTTTCTTTGCAATTAGGCACATCCCTCCCATGGTGGAGTTAACTTATGATTATGGGATAAACCTTCCTCTAAAAGCTGGTCAGAGGAAAAAGAAATGCTTATGCGGATCTGTGAAATGCAGGGGTTACTTTTGTTAATTGTCTGACGAGTTTTGGACGAGGTGGCCCCTTAATAATTGTACTTATGGATAAGGTATGTTTCCAATTTTTTGAAATTACTTTCTTTTATATACTAAATGATTCTCTCTTTCTCACGTCCTCTCTTTACCTTGTTGTTTATTTATATCGGTGGCTATTTTTGTAACTTGGCCAACTTTTAAACAGAAGCAAAACAGTTATATTGCTACTATTCCCTCTTTCACTATTAATGGATTATTTTCTTCCCCTTTATCATTGCTTAACAAGTTTTTTATAGTTGGTAAGATCCTAGAATTTATTGAATGAGAATTCAGATTCTTAAAATCTTCAAGAATAAGTGTTAGTATGAATATGAAATATAGATTCTTAAATGGTTTCAAAATGGTGACCACAAATGAAACACAACAGTTGACATACTTAAAGAATGAAAAACGTGATATTAATATAATATGGTTATTGGAAACTGGATATATGGATGTAGGATTCATTGTAGACCGAATGAAGGATAGTTTAATAGGTAGAGGTAGAGGGAGAGGAGAAGACCACAAAAAACTATGGAGCAAATCAGCTAGAGAAATTTAGAGGCATAGGATTTATCTACGGACCTAGACCCTAGTGAAAAAAATGCCTGTTTGTTGTTGTATTCATAACTAGAGATATGCAGCATTTATTTACATAATTTCAAAACTGCGGTGACTATTTTACTTTTAATTAGTGAGATAAGGCTTGGTTGTTGTTGTTATGTAAATTTAAGTTCAGGTTTCAGAAACTTTTCTTTGGTCACGAGCCACTTATGTATGAGCTTTTGGTACTTGAAAGTATAAACAATATAAATGTGGTCACTGTACCTTATTGTATGATGTAAGCCTTCCTTAACTCAAGAACGGGGGCATCAAGAATTGAACTTGAACTATTAAACTATATGCTGTGGGGCAGGGACCAAAACTTGGTAATGAAGAGTCAGTTTTTAGTTAACTAGATTTGTTGATTTTTGTTAAAACCTAAAAGACTAATAATATATGTTTTTTTTTTTCAAATACACATTTTGTTCATTGTTAAACAGTAAATGACTACTGTATATCATTACTATGTGAATGTTTTCGGCCTTTCCGGTGTGGTAATAAAATATATGTTAGTTCTGATCGTCACCTGATTATAAATCTGCCACCTTGTTTTCAATCTGTTTTCGAAGATTGTATTAAAAGTAAAAGCAAAAGAGTCATGTTCAGTATGTTCTGTGTAATTCTTGAAAATAGGTGATAGATTGAAAACAATGCAACAGTTTTGTAATGATTCAAAATGATTTTGGCCTTTCTGTTGTGGTAGTAACATAGCTTTTCAGGTAAGTCTGATTGCACATGATTGGCTGAACACAGAAAAATCTCATGTATGTATGATTGGTTGTTTTTGTGACAGTTCTAGTTTATGTCAGACAGCAGCAGGAATGGATTATTTAAAAAGAAGATGTTAGCACACCAATTTTTCGTGTCATTTTGGCAGTTGTAGTGAATTGGCACAAGAAACATCAGGTTTTCAACTTTTGAAAAGTTAACTGTAACTCTTGTAAGACTCATTTTGTGTAAGTTATTTCCGTTTGGCTGCTAGCTTACTGTTATTTATTTCTCTTGGGAGAAGGATTGTGAACAGGATCTCTTAGTCCTTTTGGTAAAGGATGAACTTAAGATGTAGATTCCAATATTTAGTTTGTTTGCCATGGTTTCCGGAATTTGGCAAAGATTGTGGCAATATCAATGGTTATTTTGTGTCTATATGATCTTCTTGCACTCATCTTTTTCCATTAATTTCGAGCTTCTTCGTCTCTTTGTATTTGTTGGGCCTGTTGTAGAGGTTTATCAGAAGCATTCTCCCTGTAGTGTATTTTTGCAGATTCAGACATTATGGAAGGTGGATTGAGAAATTTCCTCCAGTGACACTCACTCGACCCTTTGTCAAAACTCCACACAGAACCGAACCATGACCGCGCCCATCTACGTTTGCATGTGCAGGATATTTTCGTCTGTTGTGATTTTAGAAGCAAATTGTTGGCCTTGAATCCACCCAATGCCGACCAGCTTCTTCCCTTCAACTCCATTTTTGTTTTTCTTTTTTTGTATGCCATGGAAAAGCTTGAATCTTTTTTGTATTTTCATGGCTTTATGTTTTTGGAAAATCAGATTTTTCAACACAAGGTATATGTAACTGCAAACATATATGTGTGTCGTTTGGTCTTTTTCTATTGGCTAAAAATCATTCATTTATCCCAACAGTTTTTCAATTTATTCTTCTATTTGTCCAAAAATAGCTTTACAAAAATGGAGCAATATGACAGAATAATACATTTTCATATGACATTAGTACACAACTGTATTTTTTTAATCTATAGATGAAACTCATGCAAAGAGTACGAACTCTTGATGTTGACATTAAACTAAATGAGTTAGAATTCTGGTGTTGACATTAAACCAAACAATATAGTTAGGGGTGTGTATGATTACCAAATTTTAAGAACCAATCCATTTTAATGGTTCTAGTTTTAAAATCAAACCGTTTTCTATAATAACCAATTTAAAATTGTAAAATGGTTTCAATTCGGTTTAAAATTGGTTTAAATCGGTTTTCAATCAAAATTGGTTTATAAGAAAATTGTATTTTTCTTAATTTGAAGAGACGAAAAAAATTCAGGTTAATGAAGGGAACAAGATGCAAAGACATGTGTCATTTTTATACTATTATATTCAAACACTTGTACAAATCGTTTATCACAATTTTTTTGAAAAACCAAAAAGTAAAATTCAATTCAAGAGTAAAAACATTACACTTTAATCCATGATAAAGTTGCACCAAAACACTAAAACTGAACCCAAAAAAACTAAAACAAAACATCCTAAAACCAAGACAAAATCTGCTTCAAAACAATTGTTACATCATAAAAGTTAAATAAAAAAACACAGATTAACAATCGTTCATCACAGTTAACTTAATAAGTTGTTCTTCCCTTAACTAATCACCACTCTAATTAACTAATTAATAATAAATAAAATAAAATATATAAACTGATTTTCCATTTTCAATTTGAATATTATATAAACTGATTTACATGAATTTGAATTTCTTGCGCCTTAATAATACCTTATTCATTAATAATAATATCATATACATTTGGTTTTATGGATGACAATTGGTTACGAAAAATGGAAATCAAATTTTTATTTTGATATCAAAATGTATCTGAAGCGGTTCACATCCAACACAAATTAGATTATAAAAATTGGTGCACTTAATTTTTAAAATTGGTTCGTGTAAACTAATTTTTTTGCACACCCCTAAATATAGTTTTTTTTTCTAAGTTAGGGTAAGATTTGTGGACTAGTATACAATTGTTTTACAATGATATTACATATATTTTATCTTTTTTTATAACTACAAAACAACCATGCACTTTTGTACTATAATAAGAGTACTATTATTAATAACAAATTTGTCAAAAAAATTATAGAATTTATAAGATGATATAACGAGATGTGCATAGTCATTGTTAATTAATTTTACACGGATGTCTAATAAAAATGGTTGTATATTCAGTAGTAATTATTTATAAAAAAAAAACGTTATGATTACATCAAAGCAAGAGTAAATGAAAAAAAGTGTGAAAAATGCCAAGTCATTTCGAAACATTCTTAGAAAGAAAAAAAAACAATTGTTGTTAGTATTTATTTAGCTATGTTATCGAAAATAGTTGTAGGTGCGAGAAAACCGGTGGAATGGAAAAGATTGTTAGAGAAGTGCTTGTTTCATGGAAAGAGAGAGGGTGTTGGAAAAAAATGACTTTGTAATAAAAAAGAAGAAAGAAAAAAAAGAAAGAAAGTGAGAAGGGAAATTGAATTCCCTTCTTCCTTTACACCACCACGGCCAATTGATCTCTCCCCTAATAGGGTGAGAGGGAACAAAGAAAATTTAACAACAGAACCAAAAATCTTAATGCCAACAACACATGTGTAAATTTAAGGAGACTTCATTGCAGAAGGAACATTATTGTCATTAGTTTTGTTCTTTAAGCCATTATGAGTATCAAGAATAATAATGTTTTGGCCTCCTCTCCCTCCCCTTCTGTGGTTGTCTCACTCGAACCTCCCAAAATCAGAAGGCTTTATCAACTTTGGAAAGGAAACAATGTACACTTCTTTTTCTTTTTCATCATGTTTTTTTTTTTATAGACTCTTTTTAGTATTCATGTTGATTTTTGTTTTTCTTTCATCAAAATCAAAACTTTGGGTTTATTTGTTCTCTTTGCTTGTTATAAAAGATTGAGAGCTAGAATGAAAACGGAAAAAATTGTTTTTTTTTTTAGTGTTTTTGAGGTTGATGGTGTATGGGTTGGAAAGATGAAATCTTTGAGGAGGTTTAGTATTTGATTTGCACTTTTGAGTGAATTTAGAAATGTATTTGTGTCCTAATTTCGTAGGATTTTGAGTTTTCCTGGGTGAGTGAAGATTTTAGTCTTTGAAGGTAATTTAACTGTTGTTGATGAGAATAAGAAAAGGCGGAGGACTTTCGGATTAGTGGATGATGTTGGATTGAATTCTGTATTTGAGGAGGATAGGTTGATGAATGTGAAGAAAAAAGTTCAAAATTTGTTTTTTTTGGAAGTGCTTAGAGCATTTTCAATGTTGAAATGCGCAATGATGAAGGATTAGGCCGTTAGGGTATAAGAAGCGATATTCAAAGATGTAGTGTAGAGACTTTTCATTAATGTAGACGGAGGAAAAGTTTAAAGATTTTCCTTTTTATGGATGTTGAATGGTCTGTTACTTGAGGGGCAAGTCATAAGGGTTGCTTTGTGTTTGGAAGTGAGAGAAAAATGATTTTTTTTCTTCTTCTTTTGTTTCATTTTGCATATATCAAAGACATGGAACTTGTAAAGTGATTTTTGATTGAGCTTATTTTGGTAACAGAAATTTCTATTTGGTGGAAGAGTAGTCTTCGGTCAGGATGCATCATCTCTTTTTTTGACGTCGTTCTTGATCGGAGGTCCAGCAATAACTTTCTGCATACGAATGCTATTAATAATCAAAGATGAAGATACTACTTTTAACCATCTTGTACTTATTGGAGGATCGATCCTCACAATTTTGGTTGGTAAAGTTTATAAATTTTCCTTTATCAATAACAATAGGTCCTTATAGCTTTCTCGTGATATTTGAAACGCGTTTCGTTTCACTGATTGAATGCAGAATTTTATGTTTCTCTTCATGACATCTGGTAGAGATCCAGGAATTATCCCTAGGAATACACATTTACCTGAATTAGAGGAATCATTTTGCACAAATTCATCATCAATGGAATGGGTAAACAATAAAACCCCGAACCTGAAACTACCTAGAGTGAAGGATGTGATAGTCAATGGCCATACAGTGAAGGTGAAGTTCTGCGATACCTGTTTGCTTTATCGTCCACCGCGCGCTTCACATTGCTCTATTTGCAATAACTGTGTTCAGAAGTTTGATCATCACTGCCCTTGGGTTGGTCAATGTATTGGATCGGTAAGTATGATCATCACTGCTCGTCTGCGTTTTTCATATCTGTTTTGAAATCTAACACAGTTTCTCTTCTTATCGTGTTTATTTCAGCGTAACTATCCATTCTTCATATTGTTCATATCATCGTCAACCTTGTTGTGCATATACGTCTTCTCGTTTTCTTGGGTTAACCTTCTTCGGCAACAAGATAGATTATGGTCATCCATGTCACGCGATGCCTTATCGGTTGCTCTCATTGTATATTGCTTCATAGCCGTTTGGTTTGTCGGAGGCCTAACAGTGTTCCATCTTTACTTGATTTCCACCAACCAAGTATATTCTCTTTCTCTCGTCAATGCTTTAATTCATTCGCTTATACTACAAGCTACGGTTAGGATGTCATAATTATAATATTTACGAACATATATGCTTCTAAATTCGGCCTTTCTTCTTTTCCTATAGACAACTTATGAGAATTTCCGGTACCGCTACGATAAGAAGGAGAATCCATATACAAAGGGAATAATGGAAAACTTCAAAGAACTTTCTTGTTCCAAGATACCAAAAACAATGATAAATTTCAGAGAATGGGTTGCAGAAGAGGATGATATTCAAGACGAGTCCTTTACTTCAGATCTTGAAAAAGGTTTTATAAGCTCGAAACAAAAGTTTGACCTGGACATGGGAGTATACGGAAAGGACGGAATGCGAGTTCCCGGTATTTTACAAGATTTGGATTACAACGGCATTGAGGATCTAAAGAAAAAGAAGGCAGGAGAAAACGAGACCACATTTGATATCTTTGTTCCTTCTGATCAAGAACTAAAATTTTCCCAATGGAGATCCAAAGTCGGAGGCAATGAACAAGATGTGAAGAAATAGCTCCTTCAAAATAGCATTGCTGGTTCTTTAGAGACTAAGGTACCATTTTGATGTTTGCTTTGGTCTCTATGTACATACAAAAAAAAAACTTAATGAATGGGGTGTGGCTTGAGAAAAGGGTAAGGGTAGTGAGTTGATTTATAGTGGAAGTTGTAAAGGGAAACAAAATGGCATGTCTCAAGGAAAACTCAGATATTCATTATTCAAAATGGAGAAAAAAGTTGAAAAGTTACAAAAATTTGGACTACAAAATCAGTGCAGGAATTGAATTAATGTATGATATAGACAATGCTTGTTCTTTCTTCTCTTTCTTAGATTCATAGTATGGATTGTAGGTCTTGTTTCATCTTTTATATATTTGATGCTTGCTCTCTCAATTTTTGTGGAAAAATGCTTATTAGAACAAGATATTACCGCTCGGGGACTATACTTCTCTCTTTCTCATCTTCGTCGTCGAGTATCATACATAAAACGACAAAAACGTCAGAGCATCCCGGCCATTGAATGAATATTGAATGGTTTATGTTTTGAGTTTTAATTTAGTAAAATTAGAATATAAACCATCTGATTTTCATCCAACGACAGAGAAAAAATGATTGTAAAAATACTATGATATTTTACATAAATTTTACTTCCACCTTTATAATATTTTTTCCAGTATTTCTTTGAGGATAAAAGCATGAAAAAGTGAAAATGATAATCAAAACTAATTAGTCAAAGCAAAAAAAAATGCTGTTCTATGACAAACTTTTGAGAGATAATGTTGCGGCGCCCTTGCAGAGAGAAAAGGTGAGGGTGTTTATAAAATAAACTTGGAGAAAGCTTATGATCATGCTATAGGTGGAATTATTTGGAATCATGTCTTGTGGACTTTGGTTTTCCAACTTTAACTGTCAAATCAATTTTGCACTGCGTGATTTCATCTACTCAAGCTTTGCTTTGGAATGGTAAGAAACATCCTCTTTTCCAACCAAATAGAGGCTTAAGGCAAGGATCCCACCCCCCTTACATTTTTATGTTGTGAGTGGAAAATTTATCTCAAGCCATCATTGATGAAATGAAGAATGCCAATTGGAAACCTATTCAAGTTTCAAGAAATGATCCTAGATTTTCTCACCTTTTTTTGCAGATGATGTTTTACTCTTCCTAAAGACTACTTGTGCTCAAGGTTGAGAAATGGCTAGCATCTTTCAAAAATTCAGCTTTGCATTAGGTCTTAAAATCAATTGCTCTAAATCTAGAGCTATGTTTTCCAATGGAATCACCAGGAGCAAGATGACTAAACTCAACAACATGATAGCCACAAGAAGTACCATCGGTTCAAGAACTCGATTTAGATCTTAAAGTCTTAAGATTTTACGATTTCACTCACCTCCAACGATTCAAATTTTAAGTAGAATCGCGCGTTGTAGCCAAATCGTGAAAAAACCTCGTAAACTCATTGATTTTGTGCTATCTTTGTCATCTTCGGTCATGATTGACCGTTTTCCAACCACCACCATTAAAAGGTGAGAAGGATGACAAGATTCAGAAGCACAACAATTACGGTTCGGAAGGGATAAATTTGTGTCTTTTGAAATGAAGTTTTAGATTTAGGATTTAGAGAATAAACTTCTCACTTGTAGGGTTTGTTTTAACTACTTGACTTATGATAATCCTAGTAATTGACCATATATGTCCCCAATGTCTAAACATTAACAAATGTTCAAAAAAACTTCAATCATAAATGTCTAGAGAATATGAAAAAGAGTCATTTTCTCACGTATACCATTGCTTACTTACATATATCATGTAAAAATACTTCATATATATACTTTTAATTTTTCATTTTAGTAGGATCTTACGATTTTTGTTGTGATCTTATATTTTACGATTTTGTTATCCCCTCCCGATCTTACAAAAATAAGTGAATAAGATCTTTTGATCTTAAGTAAGATCTCGATCTTGACAACTTTTTACTAACTATTTTGGTTTTTCAATACTAACACATACAGTCAAGAAATTATATTTCCACTTTATAGTTGACAGTATAAATAGGAAGTTTGAATTCACTGCTTCAAAAAACAAGTTACTCAATAGACTTGGCAAAATTACTCTAGCCTCATATGTCATGTCTGTTATCCTGGCATACTATATGCAAAATGCTTGGTTTCTATCTACCACTTGTAATCAATTAGATCAAATAGTCATAAAGTTCATTTGCAAAGGCAATAATGGGAAGTGTATTCACCTAGTTGGGTGGGATAAAGTGATCAAACCTTAGAAGCATGGTAAATTAGGAGTGAGAATTGCTCGAGAAGATAACATAGTTATGTTGAGTAAACTAGTTTAGGATATTCAGTGTAACTCAAAGAAATTTTAGAACTTGATAAGTGCCAAAAATATATAAAATACATAAATATTTATTAATTTATTTTACAAACAATCAATAAAAAAACTTTAAATTATAAAAAAAATACATGATAACACGCTTGTATAAACTTTTTACCTATTTATTTATTAAGTACATGTAAAAACGACCAAGAAAACACCAAAAAAAGGAGAGAAAAAAACATTCAAGCACCAATGTTCACTTAGCCAAGAGAAGCAAGGGCAACAAAATAATGCCTAAAAATTAAGTAACTTCAAAGCTAAGCAACAAAATTCTCTTAGCCATGTATCAAACACGCCAAACAAGGTATAAAGGTTCAACTAATTTAAGAGCTAAGTTACTTCATGACAAAGAAAGAGTTTTTTTTCCACTAATACTCTTGTCTTGATTACGATTACATTCTTCTATGTAATTTTTCTTAAGTTTTAATATTGATGAATTTGTTAATATGGAATTTTATTTTTAAAGTCAAAGAAATTTTGACGGAAGGTTGTGCATATAAGGTGGAATATAGAAACTCTCTCTTTTGGTATGCTCTTTAGATTACAAATGACTACCTGTAAGATATTTGGGTATGATAATCCTGGATAACTTCGAAGAATCGTGTTCGTACACTTTTCGAACAAAGTATTTCGACCCTATTCTTGCCTGGGTTCACGAAATCTTTGTGGGGATAATTCTCGAAGAACAATCTGTTTCTGGCAAAAGAAACTGATTACAAATATAGAGAGAAAGTGACGTTTTTCCGTTATTGAAACCGAGGCCAAATGACTCCTTATATAGGAGATCAATAACTGAAACCGAAAAGACACACCTGTTCGAAAAACGGTTATGTCGGTTGGGGAAAAGGATTCAAAATTTTCGAACGGGGCGCTGCCCCGCACCCCGCCAGGGGCTTCGCCCCTTGGAACCCCAATGGGGCGCTGCCCCGTACCCCGCCAGGGGCTTCGCCCCTTGGAACCCCGTTTCAATTATTCATATTCAATTATGCATTGGCTCGACGAGCGTGCACTCCGCACTTCCCTAACTCGTTTCCGAACTTAACGCATAATTGCATCGGCCTTTAGTAAATCACATTACTACTAAAATACATTGGTGATACTAAAATCACCAACAAATCCCCCCCATTTTAGTGTAATCCTTGATTTACTCAGTACATACAAATATATACAAGGGTACAACCTACAGGTATAACGATCAAACAAATGCATAAACGAAAATATCTTGCGATTGAATTTTCATCTTAGTACAAATACACATTCCAAATACTTGAAAATCGGGGTGTCATAACGATTGAACCCGTCAATCCATTTGAATATCTGAAGATACAGTACACATATGTTTCTTACAATACTCTACTATTCATTCTTGACACTTTTACAAGCCATGTGTCCTTATCCATTAATAAGCATATAGGAAGCCAAGTCCAAGCTTCCTGAAGCGGCAAAACTTCATGCTCACATAGGTGGTCCTTTTAATCTTGCACCTGCATTTGCAATTTTTCAAAGAGAACCATTAAGAAGATATACTTCAACCTAGCCATTACTTGCAGGTCTGAGCACATACCTTGGGAAGATAAACACGATTGCTCCAATCTCTAACTATGATCTTTCCACATTGAATTTTGCTTCTAACGTTGTATTAGAAGGGAATTGGGTATACCATAGCTAATAGATTTAAATGGACTTTAATCCCATCCCAATTTTACCGACTTCTTCACTAAGTCTCTAGCTAACCCCTTCGTCAAGTGGTCAGCTAAGTTTTGTTGTGACCGAACAAAATCAATAGATATCACCCCATTCATGATTAATTCCCTAATCATGCTATGTCTAACACCCAAATGTCTAGACTTCCCATTGTATATTTGACTATAAGCTTTAGCCAGTGTGGCAGTACTATCACAACGGATAGAAATTGGTGATATTGGTTTAGGCCACATCGGAATCTCATATACCAAGTTCCTTAGCCATTCCGCTTCTTTACCAGCAGCAGCTAATGCCACAAACTCAGATTCCATTGTGGAACTAGTTATACATGTTTGCTTCTTGGAAGCCCATGAAATGGCACCTCCCCCAAGCAAGAACGCCCATCCACTTGTAGAGGATGAATCTTCAGTATTATTTATCCAACTAGCATCTGAATAACCTTCTAACACCGAAGGAAATCTCATATATGACAATCCATAATTCATAGTACCCTTCAAATACTTGAATACCCTAGTTATCGCATGCCAATGGTGTCTACTAGGATTACTAGTAAATCTGCTCAACTTTCCAACCGCATAAGCAATGTCCGGTCTAGTGCTAATCATAGCATACATCAAAGAGCCTATAGCTCTTGAGTATTCGAGTTGATACACAAGTTTACCTGTATTTGGCATGAGTTTTTCTCCCGGATCCATGGGAGTACTTACTGGAGTACAACTTTCATAATTGAACTTCTTGAGTATTTTCTTAATGTAATGGGATTGAGTAATTACAATCCCCTTATTCTCCCATTTAATCTTAATACCAAGAATAACGTCCGCTTCTCCCATATCCTTCATGGAGAACTTTGATGATAGAAAGTTCTTCGTTTTATCAATTTGATTTTGGTCGGTGCCAAAGATCAACATGTCATCAACATACAG